TCCTCTCCAAATACTCTTCCAGTGATGATGGTAGCCTCTAACCCCAACTTGTATGCCTTTCTTGTAAGCACTGTTTACTGTGAATTTGCCATCCTTGTTGTGCTTCCAAATAACTCTATCTGGTGCATTTGTTACTAGATTGATTCCCCCCAATTTTCCCAGGAAAGAAGCCACTCTATCTACTTCCCAGTCATTCAATAGCCTTCTGAAAGATAGGTCCAGCATTCACATACTCTGGCTTCAGGATTGTTGCAGATTGAGAAAAGATCTGGGAATGACTCACTTAGAGGAATTTGATCAATCCATCCATCTCTCCAAAACTTGATCTTGTTGCCATTTCCAATTTTGAGAAACACATTTTCTTCCATAGAGTTCCATAAAGCTCTGATTGACCTCCATACTCCCCATCCATAGGGTTCTGACACTATCTCTGTACACCATGGGTTCAATTCCCCATACTTTGCCACTATCACCTCCTTCCATAGGGTTCCTTCCTCTGTTTTCAACTATTAATTGCCACATAATCAATTGTATTTCTCTATATTTTTTCTAAATATACATTGCACATTTTATTCTAATGTGCTTTTTAGTCTTTTAGATGTAGTGATTATTTGTTTCAACTATATACATTTCTTTTCTTTTTCTGGATCCATATTTACAAAACTCAGTAGGAACTTTATTTATTTTAGCCAAAATAATAAAGTTCAAATCGGAATTTTCTACACAAAGGAAAAAGAATGTGCATTTTTTCAGGCAAAGACTGTTTATTTCAATTGTGAGTTTTTTTTTTTTGGGTCAACTACGTAAAATATTTGATTGAAATTTTATTTATTTCTTCTTTAGATGCAATGATTATTCATTTATAACAGTGTATTCTTCTTTTCCTTGCCTTGATTAGAATATCATTATCTTTATCCAAATAAAAAAATTATAGTCAATTCTTATTTGCATTTCAAAGTGTGAAGGACACAGAACACTTCATGGAAGGATCTTGGAGAATACAGGGTAGCAGACTCAAGCTAGATTGGTGGTCACCAATAGTTGGAGCATACTCAATTCTACGAATTTCAACTGGTGTTGGATTAGGTTCTTGGTCTACCACTTCAACTATGTTAAGGGTTATAAAGAAGATTGGGAAAAAATGTGGCTGATGGTTGGAGACGGAGCTCAAAAATCATTTGAGATGGGCTCAAATTAAAGTAAAGGCTCCGCCGGAAAATATTCCGACATCGGTTAAAGCTGAAGATGGGGAATGGAGATTCACTTTACCGGTATGGGTAGAGGCGCCGACAAAATTTAAAAAAATTTGGTTTGTTGAACAATAGAGGATAAAACTTTTCATGAAGAAGGTGATGACATCTTGTGTCAATCAACTGTGGAGAAAGGAAAAACAGAGAGAAAGGGGAAAGGGAAAAGATTTGCTGGATAATGGAAAGGATCATGGTTTTTACATAATGGACATAGATGAAGGGCATGTGGCTGGATGCAACTATTCAAAAGGAGTAGGGCCAGTGGACCATTTTTACCCCATCTATGTTGGGCTTTCTCTTCATTTAAAAGAAATTGGGCCTTCCTCTCATTTAAATGAGAAAGGGCAGAAAGGTTTAATGAAAAAGCCTACCAAGAATTTTAATCAGCTAACCACTCTTGGGCCAAAGCTTTTGGGCCGACCCTCTAATCCTAAGAATGTTGAACCTTTTATGAATGAAATTAACTTATGGCCCATCACCATAGAAGTCTAAGACAACTATCTAGCTTATGTTGACCAAAGCCTGATATTTGAAACTGAAAAACCAATAGTTCCAAAAGGAATAGATCTTTTGGGAGCCAAAACCCAACTACATGCAGAAGAGAGAAATTTGAATACCAAAGGTGAGGAATGCAGTGAAGGAGAGATAGATGACCTAGGCAATTTGAAAAAGATAACT